AAAAAAAAAAAAAAAAAAAAAAAAAAAAAAGAAAAGACAGCACTGTTAATAGGGTAGCATCTCACTAAATCTCTAACAAATGAAGATAGCTTGCATTCTAAGCCCATGAACACCAGTAGCACTAGTAACCAGTGACACGAGGGTACACACCCTGAATAACCTGTCCTGAGGACACCCTCTCCAAAACACATGAACATTCCCCAAATCATAGCGCATCTCTGCTTTGAGTGGCCACACTCTGTTTTCTCCGTGCACTTCTTTAACTCTGCCTAATAAGTCTGTCTCTATACCTCTCACTGACACATCCCAAAATGCTTTTTTGTGGCACAAGTTTGCAGCCCTACTTACTCGGTAGGTGGGGAGAGTTGGGGCTTTCTGCCTCCTCTTTGAGGGGAACCTCCTCAGGCCTGTCTGGTGACAGTGTGTGCATAAAGACATCCTTCTATCTGTGGCTGCTTTCGCACTACAGCGGCAGAGTCCAGAATTTTACAACGAAGATTTTTACTTGCAAAGTGTAAAGCACTTACTGTTGTTGTTTTCCTTTAAAGCAAACCCTTGTCAACTTCTCGTTAAGAGCATGAGCCCTGAGGTCAGACCAGGTTTTTACGTGTTTCTGACCCTTTCGTACTTTTTTATAAGTGTAAACAGGGGGTGAAAATAACAACTACCTCATAGTGTTGTTTTGAGGCTGAAATGAAGTAATTTATGTGAAGATCTCAGCACCGTATCTGGCACATGTGTTCTCAACGAAAACGAGCTAATACTATTCTAAGGAAGTATGAAAGTATGAAGAAAGTTCGTGTGTAAGGATCCATGGGAAGCTTCAAGAACTAGACATAACTGCACATGTGTGTGAAGTGGGAATGGCTGGAGACAGTGAGAGAAAGGAAACCAATGTTGCAAGCCTGTGCTGCATTAGGTAGGAATCGAGGAAGCCACATGTAGAGATTTGCCTTCCTCCCAGAACCATGCAGAGCCACTGCATGCAGGAGAGCAAAAGATTCAGAAGAGTGATTTACAAACTTGCAGGTGCTCAGCGCAGCAGCAGAGGGGAGACCTCCTCACCGCACATGTACCCTGTTGTCCAAGCACCTGGGAGAAAACATGACCTGAGAGAAGCTGGGCCTTTGGCAGAAGCCCAGCAGCCACGCTCTCCTCTGCAGCCAGGCTCCCCTGCTCTTCCTCTGCTAGGTCTCAGGCTGCCCTCCAGGATGTGCCCACACAAACAGACTGCTGTCAGTCAGCACAAGTAATCCCATCTGCCCCTCCCTCGGTCCTGATTTCATCACTGTGAGGGTGAGGGTGAGGGTGGAATCATCCCTAAGTGAAATTATCAGTGGTAGCATGGACCTCTTGTTCAATCATTTCCTGCTGGAGGATGGTTTCACTTCTACATCTTATCCAGTCCCAGGCTTGACACATGCACAGGGTAACACTGACAACATAAATCATCATGCTTAATTTCCAGATACAAGTATTTTTTGTACTGGCAGATTTATAAGACATTTTCCAATTAAAAAAAAAAACAAAAATACTTCACCCTCACTTGCCCTGGAATACTTTGGGAATTAGTTCTAGTAGTCCTGATAGACAGTAAGATAGGAGGCCCCATGAGAGATGAAGAGGGTTTCCTTCTAGCTGAAGGAAGAGTTAGAGGGGAAACTCTCACCTCCTTTACCAGCAGATCCATTTCCAATTCCACTGCCTGCTGGGCCAAACCACAATTAAAAGGTAAGTTTGTACTTGGCTCTTTAATTCTGTCTCTCTCTGGGGGTATCCAGTGTTCCCTAGCCACATTTGGCTTGCTGGCTTGGGCTACGTTTCTCTCCCCCTCAATAATTCAATCCTCTAAACCCTCCACCCTCTGCTTTAGTAAGGGGGAGGAGTGGTCCTGGACAGTGGGGACCCCTGGAAGATTAGAGAGCTTTCTTCTTGGATGAAATCTCCTGGTAACCCTGGACCAGTAATCATGGTGGAGCCCGGGGAGCTCTGGGTTCCCAGAGGAGCTGGATGGGGAAGGCCTGCCTTCATAAGAGGATTAGAACAAAGGATGATAGTTCAGGCAACTATGTGGGAGAAACTAAAGCAAACAACAGCCTGAATAGCTAGGAGGACAGCTGGCCTCCTCCTCCTTGGGCTGTGGAGCCCAGCCTCCTCTCTCTGCTAGGAGATCCCCATTTAGGTACAGGCCCCTCCTCCTCCCTCCGAAGATGCCTCTAATGTCTTGGAATGCAGAATGCCTCCTCTGAGCCCAGAGGTTCACTTTAATGCTCCCATTGTTCCCAGCCTAGAGAAGGCACAGGATGGAGGCCCTGGAGCCTGAGCCCGTGGAAAGTCACCTCAAGAGGAGTTGCCTCATCTTTACCTGCCAGGGTGGAGCCAGCTGCTGAGAAGGAGGGATAGGCTATTGTTATCATCATGGAAAGCCTACAACTAAGCACATAATCCTGAAAGCCACAACGCAGGATGATGTTGTTCAGAGGGAATCCCACAGACCCAGTCTGGTCCCCAGGAGCACCCGGGGGAAAAAAAACACCTGCAGCCACCCGCACGTGTGATAACAGCAGCTCCAGGGGTGGAGTGGAATTTGTGGCCTCCTAATAGACAGAGTGGTTCAGGAAGTACAGAGATTGCATTCCGTAGTAACTACGTTATTTATGTAAACACACTATGCACTAAACTCAGAGCTCCTCTTACATTTCTCAACTTTTCATATATGTTCCACTCATTTGTTGCAGAGAACACGGGGGTGGGGACGCATGTCTAGACATTTTACCTGAGTAGCTTTCTTGGCAGCT